GGGTGGTCTTTCACATGTGAGCAGAAGGATGCGGCGGAGTTTCTGCACTTGTTCTTCCAACAGGCTGAATCCTTACAGGTTGTGTGGGACAGCAGATGTGTTCGGGATGGCGAAATGCAGATCCACACGCAGGGCAATCGCCCGGTCACCCTCAGCATGCCAGCATCTTCTTCTGTTTCCTCGACAAGGCGCCTCTCTCTTGAAGCATTGGTTCGACATTGGCATCAACAAGATCATCTCACAGCATTCGTGCATAAGTATCCTCTGATTTGCCTTCAGCTCCACAGGTACATTGCAGGCTGCAAGAACACAACGATTGTCGATTTCCCAGACCGGGTTCAGCTTCCAATATTCACTGAGAACTCGGGCATTGAGTGGCGCAATTACTGGATCAGCAGTGCCATTGTTCATCTAGGTGGCATTCCGCTTCGTGGACACTATCGAGCCCTACTTCGAGTCGGGGACTCATGGTGTCTCACCGATGATGAAAAGTCTGCAGAAGCACTCAACATTCATGATGGACATCTACGTAACGTCTACATTGTTGTAGTGCAATCCACTCCACTTGACGCAACACTGCGAATTCGTGGTGCTGCGGCCTCTCAATGCTAGCGGTCCCTGTGGCTATCCTCCCTCTGCCTGCTCCTGCTCTTCCTTCCATGGCATTCTCGGCGCCGCCCCAGAGATCAGATCAACCCATGCCACCGATCGAGAAGGTGGAGATGCATTTCTTTGATCACTACTGGCCAGCAGTGGGGGCAGCAGGCGCTAGTGGCCAACATGGTGCGGAAGTCCCGAATACTGGAGAGCAACAAGATGACGATCTAGATGATCGGCAGTGCAAGGCTTCCAAAACTGACACTCCATGGGGAAAGGGTCATGGATCGAGGCAGGGAAAAAGACAGGCTGAGAGGAATAGCTACACGCCGTCCTGGCGCCGGAGCTCTGCATCGGAATGGGATGCCTGGGATCAGCACAGCACAACGAAGTCTTCTCTTGAAAAAGAAGTTCAGCAGGTTGGGGAGGCGCTTTTCAATGTGCAGAAGATGGTCCTCAGACAGGAAGATTTTCTGGCAGGGCTCAAGGCGGAGCTCACGTGGGTGATGTTCTTGAAAATGGACATGAAGGCCTCGGTTGTGCCTGCTTTGTTTGCCATGCAGCAGAAGTGGCGGGAAATGAAGGAGAATACCCCTCATTTGCTGAACCAGCCGATGCGTGTTGCATTAATCAAAGCGCTGTTCAAGGAGCTCTCGGCTCGTCTGGTAAAGCTTCCAGAACAGGAGGAACAGATCAACATCCTCAAAAATCTTGGATGGTATGAGCCGGAGACGAGGGACTGGTCCTATGTCCGCTGGGACTCTGAGAACGAACGGCTTGCACCGGAGCAAAATCGTGAGAAAGTGGGCTATGAGAAGATTGCGGCTGTCTTCGAGTCGTTTCAGGCGTTAGCTGGAACGCCAAATGCCATTATGAGGTTCCACCCCAGCCGTGACCTGGTGGAGCGGATGACTGGACGTGTGCTGATGTTTAGTCTGCAGATGTGTATACATGGAGATGCATCGTCTCAGATGCGCGAGCACTTGGCGCTGATGGCCGGCTTGAGTGTAACACAGCTGGTGGGAATGTCAGTCAGGCCGGAGAGACCAGTGAGGTCAAATCTGGCAAATGCGATCCAGAAGCAGATCAAGGACTACTATGGCTAGACTCAACATGTTGCTGCTAGATGGGACTATCGGTCCGGGCAACAATGAAGATGCTGCTGTGACCCTCAATTCGGCCTCTCCTTGAAGCACGGTGAGGATGGACATTTTTGCACATTATGCGGGTACTGACTGTATCTCTGGAAAGCAGAGACGCGCAAGACGTTCATGCAGTCAGACAATCAAGCACTCAGGAGCATGCAGTGAAATGCTGATTTTGCCTTCTTGCTGCGATCAAATGCGCTCTGAAGCACTGTGCCTTGACATCGCCAAGATACTCAGGTGCTACGTTGACATCGGTGCATGGAGATCCGGTCAAGCCATCAGAAGTGCCCCTGTGCCAAGTGTGCGATGGAATTTTCTCTTGCATGCATGGGATGAGTGCGATGGTGATTACCTGCTCTGTGTATCGCTTGTTGCTTCAGTGTGTTATGGGCTCAGCATCACTCGGCCAAATGAGCTGGGGACACCGCCTCAGAGCAGGGACGCAGATCGATCTTGAGATACGACAGATTACTCCGAAGCCATCGCGATGTCTCGCGCCAAGCGTTGCTACCTCTGCTTCTGCCTTGCATATGGTGTCTTATCAAGGCTCCACCGAGGACAACTCTACAAAGCAACAGCAGCAGACACGGCATCCACAGCATTGTGATCGCAGTCGGAGTCCGGGAGAGAGGTTAAATCGAATGGCACAACAGCATGAAGTTCCAGGGTATCGTCAACTTACGCTAGGTGAATTGATGGTTTTTCAGGCAAGACGGCCCAGGACTGCTTTGGAACTGGATTCAGATATGGCTTCGATGGTTAGCCGGCAGCATGCGTGTGTCACCGATGATTCCTGTCATGCTTCTCGTGGTGTAGCTCCGTGGGCGGGGTATGCGATTGAAGTGGACCATTCTGCAGACGAGCGGATTGAATCCAATGTTACTCAATCCCATGTGCATCAGGATGCTGGCATTACTTTTCAGCCTCCTCGCAATGTGTATGAAACCACGCCTACAGGTGCTCTTGATGCTCTTGCTTGCTCCTGGCTCATGTAGGGACATGTGACTTTTCAGAATCTTCGCAAGTTGTTTGACAAGCTGCCTACAACTGAAGTGACTCGGCATCAATCCTCGCATATCTCCTACAGCGGGCCGGCTAAGGCGATACATTTTGGTGCATGGATTCATGGAGGTAAGGTTGGCGTCATGTCTCGTACGAGGGAGTTCCCAAACCTTGTGAAGCTCCTGAGCAGTCTGGCGAGAACCATGCGCCCGGATGGACAATACAGCACAATCTTCTTAGCGCTGAATGTGCCGTCAAGTGTTCACAGTGATCCTCACAATCATGCTGAGGTCGAGAATGCTATCATACCATTGAGTGCCTTTCAGGGCGGAGAGTTGTTTGTGGAGGCTACAGATGGGCAATATCGACTTGACCATGCAAGTGCAACTGGACATGTGCTGCCTATCACGCTCCCCTTTACAACTTTCTGGGCCAGGAAGAAGCATGCAGTGCTGCCATGGACGGGCGACAGGTTTGTGCTAGGCTTATATCACATTCGAAATCCTGAGTGGTTGACGGCAGAGGATAGAGATTTTCTTGATGAAATGGGAATGAAGCTGAGGCAAGTGTAGTGCTTTGCAAGCTAGCAGTGGGGAACAAACGTTGCTGGCAAAGGAGCGCCCACAAAACTTGCGAATGCCAGTGCAGTGCCTGTGTTCTAGAACTTCTTCCATGCAGGTCATCGTGACAGCAGGGCTTATGTCCGGTTCTCCCTATGACCGATGCTCGAGGTACTGCAATTGCGATGCTGATATGGATTGTGCAGCTCTCGCCCTGAATGTGAACAATGGGGCATCTTCTTTGCATGATTCTGTGGCTCCCTGAAGTTGAGAGGCTATGTAGTGTAGTTGCAGTACAGAGTACCGCCAATGTTGCAAGGACAACAGGACATGTCAAGACAATCCTTGATATGCTTTACAGTGCTCCGTCGAAGCGGTGCATATGCATGTGGTCTGAACCTCGCTGCTTGTTGGGGCTAACGGCCCGGGCGAGGATGCAAAGGCACGTTTAATTATTTAGTGTTAATGATTCTGCGAACAACGCAGTTGGGTTTTGCTGTCTTCAAGGATAGCCGTGTCGTAGACACGCCCGTACATATGTCACGCAGGGACGCCTTCGGACGTTTGCGCCGCGAGAGAGAGAGAGAGTAGTAGTAGTAGTAGTAGTAGTAGTAGTAGTAGTAGTAGTAGTAGTAGTAGTAGTAGTAGTAGTAGTAGTAGTAGTAGTAGTAGTAGTAGTAGTAGTAGTAGTAGTAGTAGTAGTAGTAGTAGTAGTAGTAGTAGTAGTAGTAGTAGTAGTAGTAGTAGTAGTAGTAGTAGTAGTAGTAGTAGTAGTAGTAGTAGTAGTAGTAGTAGTAGTAGTAGTAGTAGTAGTAGTAGTAGTAGTAGTAGTAGTCGTGGTGGTGGTGGTGGTGTGGGTAGTGGTAGCGTAGCAGCAGTAGCAGTAGCAGTAGCAGTAGCGGTAGCAGTAGTAGTAGTAGTAGTAGTAGCAGCAGTAGTAGTAGTGGTAGTGGTAGTGGTAGTGGTAGTGGTAGTGGTAGTGGTAGTGGTAGTGGTAGTGGTAGTGGTAGTGGTAGTGGTAGTGGTAGTGGTAGTGGTAGAGTGGTAGAGTGGTAGAGTGGTAGTGGTAGTGGTAGTGGTAGTGGTAGTGGTAGTGGTAGTGGTAGTGGTAGTGGTAGTGGTAGTGGTAGTGGTAGTGGTACGGTTGATGGTATAAATCCTGCATGACCTTAAGGACCCAAAACTATGGGAATTATGGTATATTCCTTATTTTGGGTCATGCAGGATTTATACCATCAACAGTAGTGGTAGCAGCAGCAGCAGTAGCAGTAGCAGTCGCAGCAGCAGTAGTAGCAGTAGTGGTAGTGGTAGTGCCCGGGGACTGCTGAAGGGGGGGTTCCCTTGTCTCGCGGGGGTGGTTTACCAGTCCCTTGGATTTCCAGACTTCGTAACACCATGCTGAAAAGGCACAGCTGCCGCTGCTAAAGCTCGTAAGCCGTAGATTGAAGTCTTAGCCCCTAGTTACTCAGGAGGCTCCCGGCTAGGCCAACGGGCTTTTTTGTCACGAAGCTGAGAATAAGCTTCGCATTTGTCGAATAAGCTTTGCATTTGTCGGTTGGGTGCCTTGCTTGATTTGTTTCACAAATTTTGTATTTCTTCCGTTTGCATGCCTGCCTTGGATGCTCGGAGCCAGTGTGTCTGTCTTGGGAGCTCACAGCCTTGTGGCAAAAATTGAGAGTTGAGCCGGTATCAGGAGCCGGCGTTTGCAACCCCTCGGTGGCGGCGTAGCTCCCTTGGAGCCAGATGCAGAAGAAGGCAGCCTCGTGCCTTGGCAACGAGTGGCTGCTAGTCGGGGGCTGTGGTGTCCTGAGCCGGTTAGGTACTGCTTGCTCCAGCCGGCTTCCAATTCCGAGCTGGCGATTTCGAGCTTTGCATCGAGATATCGGTTGAGCGCAAGGATCTCACTGCAGATGCTAGGAATCCGGTAGGAAGCACCCATTTCTAAACTGTCGGCTCACTGCTGTGCAGGACCGCGTCTTGTGGGACACTACAGGCATATTCGGATCCAGTGATGCCACGTGCTTCATCACGGGCGACGCTTTGGACAATTTGACGCTTCTCGGCATGACTGCAATGCGACTTGCTGAACTAGCTGCAATGGTTCATGATAAAAGAAGGCCTGTTTATGCAAGTGTCCTTGCGACTGAATGTAGCTCGGCAAGAGGGCAGACCGCTCAGATTGGGGATGTGATACATGGAGACTCACGTGCTAGCACGCTGTACTAAGGTACACGTTGATCAATGCCAAGGCTTTCGAGCCTTTGAGGTCCTACTCCTTGAAGTCGGTGGTTAAGAATATCGATGTGTCGACATGGCCCAACTCGAATGTGGGGCCGGCCAAACGTGGGATATGCAGGGAGGGGTGGTGTTGGCCTTGTCGTCCATGCATTCGTTCTGCAAAGGTGTGGCTGCTCGAGTCGTTCAAGAGATTCGTCGCAACCGGCCAACTCATTCGGCTGGATAGCTGCTTGTTTGCATGCAGTTGTGGTCAGGAGGGACGTGACCGCAGAAATAGCTATGTAGTGCTGGCATAGCATGCTTGGCAGGAGTGAGTGGCACTAGCATAGTCTTTCAGTTAGTGTAGCATTCGCCGTTTAATGTCGTAGTGGTAATAGTGGCGATTATACAAGTGCCACATGGGCGGGGCATTGAAGAGCATGATTTCCCTGGTGGCGTATTGCAGACAGCACAGACACTGGCACAATGGGTTTGAACCCCATTATGGACAAGATGTGCCGGTCTACATCTTAGAACCTCAACCCTGCATCGAACTGACATTGAAACCCGAAGACCGTGTATTGTCAACCAATGCCTTCTGCTGCTGCGGCTGCTAGTGACGCGGGCATTGTGGTTCCGTCCGGCTGGCTACTCATGGGGCGTTTGACTGCTGGCAGAGGTGCTAGTGGTCGCCGACTGTTGTTGTTGTTGTTGTTTCTGCTGCTGTTGGCTGTGTAGTTCGTGCAAACCCTTCTCCTGTCGCAACGGCTAGAGTCTCGCCCTTTCGCGAAATCGTCGGCTGCGACACCGCCAGTGCGACGGAGGGCTTCTGACAACGTCGAGAGGGCTTTGTGCCGCATCGCTGTTAATCTGCCAGCACTGGGTAACAAGACAAACCATGGAGAAATCGGGCAAGCTCTATGCTGTTTTACGTTCTGCAGCTCGATAGCATTCTCGCAAGCAGGCCGTGTTGCGTTCCCTGAATCCTTCGTTCGGCTATGGGGCAAGCTTTCCCCTCTTGCAGGGACGCCTGTCGCAGGCCCTCAGCCAGACTTGTTTACAAGGCAAGGAGGAGCACCGTGCAGTCAGAAGAAAACCTGAACCGATATGCCTTCCGTCGCAGCATTCAAACTCAACGGAGGTGTGTGCTCTGGTGCGGGTGACGGGCTCGCGCTACGGCCCTACCAGCTGTGTTCGGGGTCAGGCAGCGTTAAGAGTGACGGCCTCAGTGCTTCGTGGGAGTAGAGCCAGGGTTTTTTGCTTTTGGGCAGTGAATGGCAGGAGATTGACTGCAACTCCCCCAACCTTCGCAAGCAGCCTTTCCGCCTGTACTGTGTCTTTACGGCCCATCGGTGTGGGACGCCACTAAACGGGAACTCTGCGGGGGGGGGGGGGGGCCAATTCGTGAGTGTTGGACGCGGTGACTGGTCCAAATATAGGGTGACAGAGGCAGTCTCACTTTGAACGGATCGAAGCCAAGCCTTGTGAACTTGCAACGTAGTCGTAGTGCCGACGGCCGTACGTCGCAAGCAGCCGCCGGCTTGAAGAACAGCGAGCACCGTTCATGCCTGAGTCTTGGGCATCGCCCAAAGCCGCCACAAGTCACAGCAAGAGGCTTTCAATGGGCCCTTTCCTTTTCTGGACGGACCTTCGGCTGAACCATAGCCGCAACGTCTGCAGCTGGAGGCTTGGTCGCACAGCTTCTGCCACTTGCTGGGGCGCTATTCCCGGCCCGGCCTCCTTGAAGCAGCAAATTTGCCTATGCTGGAAGTTGGCTGCAGGCTTTCCATCAGTCTGCACGCTTTGCGGCGTTCGAACTATGCTTGCAAGAGGACCTGCCGACAACACTTGTTGTGCTATGGGTGTCGGGCTTTGGCCACGAGCGTTATTGTCGTTACCGACGGACTCAGGCAGTGCTAAGAGTGACGGTTTGCGTGCTTCGTGGACGCACCGTCCTTGCGGCCAATCGCCGGGATTCGGTAGTTCCCTGGCGATCCCTGGCGAGACGATGCGAAACGGGCAGGAGCTCTTCGAAACGGCCCGTCTGAGTACGACCCATCGGTTGCCAGTTCATGAATCACGGAGGGTGTCTGAGCCAAAATCATGGCTAAAGGTCCAAAAAACAAGAGAAAAGTTAATGTCACCAAAGGCAAGAAAAGGCGCCAGCCCAATGTGCGAAAAATCACTTGGATACTAGAGGTGACTGCTTGAAAAGCCCCCCCCTTTAACCGGCACCCGTTTGTCACGGAGAATCTTTCCAATCATATTCTCGAAAACATAGTTTAAAATGATGGGGAAAACGAGAGATTCGACTGAATACAATAAAGAAAACCCCTTCCCCTCCAAGATCATGAAGCATTATGTTCTTAATCAAGAAGGTTCGACAAAAAAACCTATCATATCACCTTAGACTTAACAGGCTCGAATATCAACTATCGCGCAGGTGATGCCCTAGCAATCTTTCCTGAAAATCAGCGAAAAATCGTCTCCTAGACAAAAGGTGCCAAAGGACTGTCCAGTATGCCGTGGCATTTCGTTCATTATCCAATCTTCCCTTTTAAATTCATTTCTCTAAATGAGCAATGTTTTTTCCGAACGGTTTCGGAAGGGCTGAGACCAAGGGCGGCGCTAGCTCACGGCACGCTCCGAGGTTGATTGAGTCTCCCGCAAGGAGCAAAGCCCGCTCGAAGGGGTTCAACATGGTTCAACAATGAATTGTCGTTGTCGTCGTCATGTCTGGCTTTCTGCCACAGTGCTGTTACCGTTGCCAACGCATTCTCAGGCTTCAACGTTCCGGGAACGCCGACGATCGCACCTTCACCCGAGTTTATGGTGATGAATACGGCACAGGAATTTACGGCAGGACGAGTGATTAGAATCGTTGCGTTTGAAGGGGTCTGTCCATCAGCATGCAATGTCAAGATGCCAACTGCTCAGTTCTGATGTCCATGCAATTCCTGCCTGGCGTACAAGCCTGTCAAAGGAGCATATATATATATATATATATATGTATATATAAATACATAACGTGTTTCAGCAGTCTCCTGCCCTGCGAGCCGATGCGAGCCGCCCAAGATGCAAACATCAGAAGTGGCATGATGGCGGAGACATCAGCACTTGGTAGAGAGATTGCTGAGGTTTGTGGTATCGGTATCTCTGTACTGTTGCAATCTGCCAACTCTCAAATTGGCATCCACCATGCAATGTGAAACCAACAATATCAGTGATGTTGGACCGAGATGTGGTCTGATACAGGCTTTCGCACATGCTCTGACCTACGTGGGATGCGGTCACATGACACAGATTGCACAGTTTATGAAACCATGATCTGGAGCAAGAGCCGGTGTACCATCTGTCGCATGGATCTGCATATCCTGTAATAGAAACCCAGTCGTGAGCTGACGCAGACGCAGCTTGACCGGTGTCATGGTTTTGTGGAGATCTACAGAGAGCAGCACAGATGCGGGTTGGCAGTTGGGTAACCAATCCCACCAAGTCTTCCTGAGCCCGAGCTCCTAATTATATAATGAAAATTGTCCCTTCGGAAAGGATGGGATGGCGAGAGAGAGAGAGAGAGAGAGAGAGAGATAGAGAGAGAGATATATATATATTTTTTTGTCACCTGCAATCTCGACAGGAGTACGGACGCCACACATCAACGTCTCGATGGTCTTCAACTCTGTCCTGCGAAATGGCGATGTTATCATTGTCACGCCGCCACCAGGCAGTGCACGTGCCATACTCCTTGCTGATGCCAGCGGCCCGTGCTGCGGACGTCGATAGTGCGTCTGCTCGTAGGGGAAGGGCATTACAAGCAAGCAGGCCACCAAGCTTAAGAGCATCTTGTAGAAGGTTCGTGGCAGACAATCCTTGAATTATCAGTTGCAATCAACAACTCAACAGCAAATTCGTTTCTTGCAAAGTGTACGCGGCATGGCACGGATGCAGGCGCTGCCGTAACTCCGCGAAACCGATGTATGAGGTCTGTGTAAGCACCAGTCCACCCAATGCGGTGTGATGCGGGGTGTCTTGGCTGTGCGAGTCTTGCGTGCAGTTGCATTGTGACGATTCCCAAGAAACCTGCTGATGTTTAAGATGGTTGAGTCGGTAGAAGCGGAGAAGCAATGAGATGGCTTCTCTTACCACAAAACTCGGCCACGGATTTGCTTAACAACCGTTTGCGGGGAGAACCAGAGGCGAACATGGCAGTGCCGAAATGACATGTATGTATGCTTTAACAGGTACAGGTACAGGTCCAGTCAAACATGCCACAGAGGATGCTTTTGCATGTCGCAGTTCGCGACAGATTGGACAGGCTTTGACCTCCTTTCCGAAGACGGGGGATGCCGAGACTTCCAATGGATCGGAACCTTTCGACCATTAGTTCTGTCACCTCCTCCGGCGTGCAACTGCAGCTCAGCAGCATAATATTCTATAGTACAGGTTTTCGGCCTACCGGTTTGCCTTATACCGTGCACCTGTCAGGCTCGATGACACCCTTGCAGTGCAAGCTTGAGCTGAACGTCATGGAGAGCAGCCAGTTGCGTGGCCTTGCTCTGGGCGAGCAGGTGAGAATTGCCTTTGAACTGAGCGTGACGAACCCTGTGATGACGCCGGACATAGTGGAGGATTACTGGCGGATGGAGCTATGGCACGGGACCAGTCCTCCTTATCCTTTCAGTGGAGGGCTTGCTGAGAGCTGGCCCGTCTATGGAACACTGGACAACTTGACAGTTTCTTTGGTGGGCTTCGAGAGACGCGCGGGTGCTATGAGCGATCTACGCTTCGATTTTGTCCCCAGTGCCCAGGTGACATGCAGACCTTTTAGTTTTCTTCAATGACAAGGATCTCGGCAGGCCAAGCGTAGAAAGCGGCTTCAGCACAAACTCTTCGTCAGATTGAAAGGGGTGTTCCGAACTAAGTCTCACTAGGCAAAGTTGGCGTCGCCAACGGGATGTGAATAGGGGCCGAGGCAGTTGCGGGATGTTGCGGGTGGAACATCTGAGGTGTTTGGGGCACAGCATTGGACATCGTGGTCCATGAGCCAACTGGATTCCAGTTCCAGAACGCACGCGTCAACGCACCATGGATTCGACATGAACTTACAACAGGAAGTCGCCTGGTCCTCATCGGCTCCTCGGCCACTGTAGATCACCGTAAGCGCTGCTTTAGCGCTGCGGAGTCGCTTTTTCAATGCTCTGAAGTCTTCTTCAGCAGTTCTCGAAGCCACTAAGCTGAGCTGTGTCAGGTGGCACGCTTGTGCCAGGACAGATGTCCCAGCTGACTCTATCCCTTGTGCGGCTGGGAGATGGCGGTGGACCCACTCGCATCAGCAGCTTGGTCCAAAGTTCTCCAAGGCCCGCCTTGATGCTTTCCTGCTTTCTTCAAGCTTGCATTTGCAAGGCATTCGCGCCTTTGCAGATTCGCAATTAACGCGTGAGACGGCCAGGAGAGCAATGGCACACTGCTTCAAGTAAATGCCATGCTCAGGCTGTTGTACTGGTAGCATTGTCGTGGGAATCTTGCGGGACAGTGTTCTCGTCGCAGGAGGATCAACTTCCTGCAGGGCTTCCGACTTCCTGGTGCAGTGCCCTGCCATTCTTTCTGTAGCATTTGAGTCTATTCGTAGCTCAAGATTTCGTGAATGTTCGGCCTGGCCTCTTCTGCATCTTCCTCAGTCTTCGGGACTCAGCACGTTGCTTGCTTGCCTCTTGCTCAGATGTTTTGGGACCCGACAAGGCTGCATGATGGAGCTTCGGTTGCCCTAGGGTCTCACAACGGTTGGGTGGATCGGGTGGGAGCGGCAGGCTGTAGGCTTCTTTTCAGCCGGTCGAGGTTCAGGGACCCGGGTAAGCGTAGTCTGGAGTGTGATGCAATATAATACGGCGGGCCCAGCTGAAGTAAACCCGTCATCTTCAGCAGTTGCGCGAGCTCCAACGGAAGCTATATTGAGCGATCGGCAGAGAGCGACAATGTCAGCGACGAAATGTATCGACAAGTGTTAGTCAGGCTTGCAGTGTTTTCAAGGTCGAGTAGATATATGGCGATACGTCGATGCAGTTTGCGAAAGCTTCACGAGCTTCCCGTCGTTTGTCTCTTCGGAAGCCAGGTCGTGGCTGAAAATCTGCGGCTTTGGAGCGAGACCGTAGTGGACCACTGGTCCGGCGAGCAAGCAGACTCCGTCAGCCCCTTGCTGCCATGCCATACAAACACGTGCCTCAACATGCATCGAGCAGCTGTTCAGTTCAACAATCTTCCGCTGAATTTAGCGTTGCAAGACCTTTCAACAGTATCTATAATAGAGCACAGTGCGAAATTCCAAGGCTGGCACGGTTCGAGATCTTCATCCGGCTGAGCAATGTGATTCTGCATGGAGACGCGCTGATCATCACGACGCCAAGCGGCGGAGGGCGTAGGAAAGCGGATGCTGGCTGTTTCTGCCCTGCAACAAAGGAACAGCGTGCCCTTCGGACAAGCGCCTTGGGAGCCTTCCACAGAAGCGGAGTATGAATCAACATTGGAGATGTGTTTGGGCCCCGGCCAGCACGGAGCGGGCCGAACAAGTTGTCACATGTTGCTACTTTTTCTAAGATGTTCTTGCTTGTCTGTTTCACTTTCGGGAGTGTAGACTTCTTGGGTTCTGCAGCTGCAGGAGGCATCGCGGAAAATGGAACGTGGATATGTGACCGCATCCAGGAAGTCAACATCACGAGCCGGGTTGTCATTCGCACCTTGTTGATCTTGGCTGTCGCTTTGGTCTTGTACGTGTTGCAGAGCTGGGTGACTAAAGCCCTTCGTCCAGTGCATTCCAGTGCTCACACAACTGCGACGGCAGGACCTAGAATCGTAGCAGGGAATCCTGGAGGATATTCACGCGGCAAGCTACTGCAAGCCCGAGACATAGCCCGGCGACCCCGCGATGGCGGGCAAGCTTTCTGGAGAGCTAGAGAAATGCAAAGCTTGCGGGGAGAAGCATCATCTGCACCCCACGAAGCGTCACTGCACTTCGGGTCGTCACAGAAGGGCGATGCAGCTCATGATGGGTTTGTGTCTACAACCGACACTTCGGCAAGGGACGCTTGAATGATGTCGCCGAAGCGTTTCAACCTTGGGTTCCGGCGCCAGCACCTACACAGATGGCGCAGATGCCGAGAGGGGTTTCGAAAGCCATCCACGGGTTTGTCGAAGGCAGAAGGTTGGAGGGGCTGGGAATTGGAGAAGTAGTAGCTGGCTCGATCGCCCACGATTCCAGCATGCCATCTGCTTTTGAAGAGTCGCTAGACCTGGTTTAGGCAACAGCGTGGGCATTGTCATCGGAATGCGGTTGACTTTTGGGGCCATGAGGCCGGAGTACGTACTCAGCCAGGCAGGGCAGCAGGCAGCATGTGGCAGCCCGTAGACTTCTTGCAAGCTACTACTTGTGCTGCTGGTAGCCTCTGTCGCCTTAGCTCCAGGACAGCATTCGACGATCGAAAGGACTAACGACTGAGTTTGGACTGTGCGCCAGCACAACATACTTGTACCGCTCGGTTTCATGACGTGATGTCAGCTCTATAGAACAGCAAAGGAAAGCAGCAGAACAAATGCAGGTACGGGCAGAAGCACCACCAAAACCGGAGCAAGAGTACGCTTGACAGATGGGCCTTCTTCATAACGAGCACAGGCAGCGCAGCCAACGCATGCCTCAACCTGCAGCGCCGCCTCCACTACCACCACGACCGCCGCCACCGTGACCACTACCACCAACGCCCCCGGTCCATATCTGCTGCGATGGGAACCGGGGACGCTCAACCCAGGCACTTGCATTCTACAATGGCAAGAGATAAAGCCAACACCCGTTGGATGAAGTCGGATCGGGAAAATTGTGGCAGTATGACAGCTAGCCCAGCGCGGGCTCGAAGTTGCCCCCGGAGACCTGCCGACCATGTGATTTTCAAACATGGCAGAATCGATTGTTCAGCTCGTACCTTCCAAAACGTCAGCTACATGAAAGTGCTCCATGGTGTTAGGGAAAGTTGTGGAAAGGCTTCGCATGCGCCTCCTCATGACTGCGGGGCTACGTGGTAGTGGAGAGATTGCATCAGCGAGCCAGCTCATCATGTGGTGGGTCTGGCTGAGTTTCATCTGTTCCGTACGACTCACTTGGCACTTCATGCTCTCACGAGAGCGATGACGTCTACAGCAGCAGCAGCGGCAGCAGCCGTCAATACCTTCCAGCTCAGAAGCAGTGACTCATTAGGCCTTGTCCAGCAAGTTCGATTCAAATCGCCCACAAAATCAGGGAAGGAAGTTTTCGCGAACAAGAACTTGAGATCCTTATTAATTACACAGCACAGCGGTTGTGGTGGTCGGTTCTCTGTCAGGCCTCCTTGGATGAGGTGAGAAATCGATTAAAGCTCGAAGGACAGCATCCCGACCATGTGCCGGTGGCGACCTGCATAGTAGAAGGTCCAAGAGGCTACGAGGCAGAGTGAAGTGACCATGTAGCAAAGTATTGCCCAAGTTGGAAGGAGATCTCGAATTTCGCGAGCTGGCTCTGGAGGCCAACCGAGATTACCGCCTACGAGCCTCGACGCCAGCGCAGGATGCTTCTGTTGGGCACTGGGGCACTGCAAGTTTGGATCTTTAAGGCATCTGGCTTCGTGCGTCTCCTGCACCGACTATGTGGAGCATTTTGACAGAAGATGCCGCTCGAATACGATTTGTCAATTTTTCTACAGTGATTTGCAGCACAGAGCCAGAACAAACAGGATCAAGCCGCAGAGCCCAGCACATGGACATGCTTCACAGTCTCACCTTCAGGCCCTTGGATTTCTGTCCAATACAAACGATGGTCTGACACCGGGTGCCGTTGCTGTCCCAGACTCCTGGCATCTCCTGGCTTGCTGTTCGGTTCCTCCAATGAAGCAGCGGTATCCGAAGCATACATGTCCCGAAGTAGGCGAGCTGTTCCGAGTTCCACATGGACTCCAAAGCTCCAAGCCAAGGAAATGACCCTGACGGTGACTTCTGGTGTGACCCGGGTACCGCCGGAATCCGCCGTCTACGTGCGTGTTCACGTGCGAACTGGTCCGTCGCAAGGGCCTTTCGGCAAGCTTCAGCTGCTTCTGCCGTATGGCTTCGCGCCCTATGGTGCTTCGGCAGCTCCCTCGTCCAGATTGATCGTCGCCTTGAACCTCGAGCAGGGCGAGGGTGTGCTGGACCAAGTCACAGGGATGATCTTCAACTTGTGCCTTGGCAATGCTTGGGGCAGACTTGCTTGCGCGAGAGCACGTTGAGGGTCGGATGAGGCGGATCATGACGCCATCTACCAATGTGCCCGACTTGCGCTGGTTCGTACTGGCCAAAGAGGCGAGAAGTGTCGGGCAGAGTGCAGGTCGAAATCCAATGTGCACCAGACTTCGCATCTGGACAACACATCCATGCGCTCCAGCCGTCTGATTTCTTCAAGCTTGCAGGTTATCGTTGACGACATCACTGGAATCACAGTTGAACCTATCAACGGTTGGGCCGAAGCTGGTGGATTTGGTGTTGCATCACAGACGCACTATGCAGCTTGGAAGCCGCTCCTTCGCGAGCCGTTACCTGCAACCTTGTTTGGGTCAGGCACCCTGTCCGGTGTCGCTCATGTACGGTGCCATTCCCAGCGCAACAGGCCACTTTCCGGCAGCGGCGTAGCCACTTACTTAGCCTTTTTATTTTTTCGTCGCCGAGGTTGGTTGTCAATTTCTTTCTATGTCCCGGCGATGGTTGCGGGCAAATTTGCCCTGATCACGGCGCCAGATACCTTTTTAGTGCAATGTCCCAAGGCAGGGTTCCAACATCATGTGCGGGAAGCTTTCATCGCTGAATTGCCATGTTGAGGTCGAAGAAACAGGCTTGGAACTCGCCTGCGAAGACTTCCGAGTCCGCGAAGCCCTTCCCCTGTTTCTACAGTCACTGCAGCGGACGGTGAACGTCACTCTGGTGGGAGGAACTTCAGAGGGGGACAATGTGCTGTACATGTTCCTGCTCAATGTGCTGACTCCCGCAGAGCCCAACGTTTTCGACGCACGGCAAACCACTCTACGTCTTGCATAGGTGTGGACAGTCTCCGATTTTGGGTTTGATTGGTTGTTAGTGTCTACCTATGTCTGCCTTTTGTGTCAATGCATTCATACCCAACTTCAGGCAGCAGACCCGAATCAAGGGAGGCAAGTAGACTATGCCGACTACGCCATGTCATACTATTTGCATCATTTCTTCAATTTGGATCCCTGCAACATCACGTGTCATTGATGAGTGACGGAGATTGCCAGCACCCGAGTACTGTAGACTTCTTGCAAGCAGGCGAGAGCGAAGCCATCCCAGGTCGCACAATGCCGCATGTCTGTTCAGTTGATACAGTATTTATCTTCCATCCTCCTACGGCTGTCTCCAGCGTGCTGGTGCGATGCGTGCCTCTGCGTCATGCCCCTGCTGAGAATCGCGTCTTGCGGACGTTTCGAGCGTCATCTCACTCAGGCAGTGCTTGAACATACTTCCCGGCATCACTGCTCATTAGACCCATACAAGTGCGGGAAGTGGAGGAGAAGGAAGCAAGCCCGACTGCCGTGATAATGGTATCCGGTACGGAACAGGGGGCAGGTGCGGGTCCATGCAAAGAGGAGGTCCAGTCGAATGGCCTTGTCCGATCTTGCAGCCTGGCCTAGGATGTTTGGCAGATCAGAGTGCTGGATGATGGATTTGCAGTGGTGGATGCGGCTCTAGCAGTGCAGCAGCCACGCTCCGTGGATGAATACTAGATGACACTTAGACAATGCCAGGCGTGGAAGAGACACATTGCAGAGCCGAGGCTTCGTGCTGGATCTTGAAATGGGCAACCCTTCCCTGTCTTGGCTGCAGCCACCGCAGATGGGCGAGGCACGTGCTGCAGAAGCGTTTGGTGTCAAGCCGTAAAGCCGTTTATCACAGCGGACCTCGGCCCGGCTGGGTGTCGATCCCGGAAACTAGAACTAACTCCCAACCCGCTAACTGCGCAGACAAGCCACTTGAGTGCGGAGGAATTAGAGGTCAGCTTATAAGCGGTCCAACCACATCTTGGAGCGTGTGGCCCATCCTTCCTCGATCCCTGCTATTCAAAACCTGGTTTGCATCTGAACTTCGTTATACTCCGTTTGTAACCCTCCGTCGCTCGATTTGATGCTGAGCCTCAATTCTGGACGCGACGAGCCTCAGACTTGTTGTGCACACGAAAGAACGAGCAGAACATGCTGTAAGCATAGAGGCAGTCCATGTCCCGTCTCAGCGTCGTAAAGTAAGTTGTTTGTGTGTGCAAATCAAAGTGCTGTTGATGTTTCAGGCGTAAGAGCACAGCAGGTGCAAATGAACTTGAGTTTTGGCAGATGTCTTGGCTGCGTGAATGACGGACTCGTGTTGATTGTTTCTCTTTGTGGTTGGGGCAGGGTTTATGCAGAGATCGAGAAGGTGATGGCATTTTCTCCTCTAGTGGTTCGCTTTGGAAGCCGTAATGTGCATCTGCCGGCCAAGAATCGCAGGGAAATTATTTGCTTGTTTTCGTCGGCGGCTGTGTCTTGCTGCTGGCCATGTGTCCCATAAAACAGACTGCATAATTTCCCTAGCTGAAGATGCCTCCCCAGAGCAAAGAACCAAAGGTTTGTGCACTTCCTAATCATCTGTTGAGCTGACGTGAGCTGGTTGTGCTTAGACACTCAAATTTGTTCACCCGCAAACCCGTTTACGCTCGAAGGCACGGCACGTACCGATAGCTCACCGCTCCTCACCATTCCTCACCATGGAGCAAACAAGCAACCGTCAACGTTGATGGCACGCAGGTCCAGCCTTTCGCCGGGGTACGTTATAGGGCCTATACCTCCCACCATCACAACCCCAGCGCTTCACAACCGCCAGCAAATGCAAGTCTCTTTCGCCTCTGCGAAGTCGTCACTCGCTCTCTCATCTTCCACGTGCCCCATATCCAGCAGCAGCTGCCAGGTCAAGGCTCTCGCGACCAGTTTCGGACCGCCACACACCTTCGTCAGACTTGAACCAACGCACAGCACATACATGTGCTCGTGGCTTTCCTGAACTTTGAACGCATCGGGCAGAACGACGAGGAGCCAGATACCATCACCGCTGCTAGGTGGAGAGGGATATTATCCGTACAAGACGTCATGTCCAAGCCGCACACACACACACACAGCCCTCAAAGTCCAAGCACTACACTGCATACTACACGTCGAACTCGAGGTCCTTGGGGCTCTGCAGTTGCATTTCATGGTACTAGAAATATGAATGCGGGGCATTGCCTCCCGCTCCAACTGCATAAAACCGCTTGAGCAACAGCAGACGCAGCCTGGGGCTCTGACTGCAATTGTGCCAGGTCTCCAACGTGCAAGTTGAGGTGAGCTTTCTCCGCAGAGTCAAAGATGTGAAAGCCATCTTGGTGTCCCTGCCGGAGAACTACCGACATGACATTCAGCATAAGAACCAGTGACTTGGACTGCCACGGGTCGAGGTGCTTTTCTAAGAGGTCTCTTGGCCGTTCGAAGCAGGACCCCAAAGCGCGGACCCGAGACGAAAAATCAGTTTACAGATAGATCTCGAACTTAGCAGGTCTTGAAGGCCAGAAAGAATGTCAGCGCAGAAAAGCTGTCAGCGCGGTAGGCATTCCGAAAATTCAAGAAGCGCACAAACAAGAATCTGCCAGACACCGAAAAGAACCACTGCTTGAGATCAAACATGTCAAGCAGATTGGCAGCTTGCGGAGGGCTGTGCCCCACGCCCCACGCCCCACGCCCCAGCCCACCACTCCACCACCCCCCCACCCCATCCCCCAGCACACTACCCTAGCCTACCCTATCCCCTGATCCAAACCAACCTCTGATCTAATCAACCCGAGTTCTTAAGCAGGTTTAGCCATGTGAGCCAACACCAGACTCGAGGCAGGATTCTGCGTCATCCACAGCGGGAGGTGCAGCGTTTGCAGGACACTCCCACACAAGATGCATCCAGGAAACCACGACAACACCAACTCTCCTTATCCGCAAAAGCTTTGGTACACCAGCTGAGGGAAACTACTGAAGCCCGCGGCCGTCTGCTGAATGCTCATCGCAGCATGAGCCTTCCGAGGGCACCAAGCATGTCGCGCGAACACGAAAGATCCACGAAAGGAAACATATTCCACGATGAAACCATAATTATGTGTATGAAGGAACCTGGATCAACTATGTAATCTTTGACTCCGCTGATTTTTTTCTTGATGTCTCCGTAACTCTTTCTCGAATCGGGGTGAGCAGTGAGCAGTTTTGATTAAATGTCTGGCCTGTTGTTTGTGAGGATTCCTTGTCGCATAAAGCAGGCATGCGGACGACCGAGGTTGCGGAACGTCAATAAACAATTCCCGCTGACGATTGATACGGAATGGCGGGTCTTCGACAACTTGAGGCAGCGATCTCAAGCTCAGCAGAGGATCCATGGGTCTGCTCGTGAACGGCCTTCCCCAAGGTACATCAAGGTGCTTGTGGAAGTGGCCGAGACAGGTGAGGCTCAGATTATCATCGCCGGCACTTACCAGTGGCAATTTCCCGTCATGGTTGGCAACTCAGGTCGTCGGTAGCCGCTGTCCACACATCCGATGCAGAGCGCAATGGTTAGCACCTGTTCGCTATCTTCCTTCTAAGGTTCCTTTGATCAAGCCGTTTACAAGCGAGTGGTATGTTAGCCTATGCTCAGAGCAGACGTGCCGCTTTGCCGAATTAAATAGACCCTTCAGCCGGATAGGACACCTCGACCTCGTAGGACGTATGGGCGTTTTTCTGCAGGCACGGTGGTGCGTGATCCTGACATCATGGCGTCTTTTCCAGTTCCCAACAACGAGCCGCAGCTGCCGGCCAAAGTGTTTCAGGCAGCCGCAACATGTGAGTTTGCAACAATTACTGGCATCTGTTTTTGTGTTATCCTGCTGTACATGCGATGGTTTGCAATCATGAAGGTTTTTCATGCATCTCTATTTTCTATTTTTCGCTCTCTCCTTTTTGCATGATGCAGGGGGGCACGGCGTCAGATTCCAGACCGTGCCTAACAAAGCTACGGAATCTGACGGGAAGCAAGGGCTGATCACCCTTGTGTACCTGCAAAAAGCTGGGCCCCTGAGCCAGCAAGATTAGTGAAACAATTGGCTTTCGCCTTTTCCAGGCAGGTTTTAGGTTTGCTCATTGATTTCTTTTACCTGGCTTGCAACATGTGCGATGTGCAGTCTTGCAGCAGTCATGTCGACGTACAGTTGTCACCCACAGAAGGCAGGCGGGTCAGTGGAAGCCTTTCCAGTTGTGTTCGACAAGAGCTCCCTCATGAGGGCCTTGTCGCTTTTCGGCGAAGTGCCGGCCCACCGGGGTGCTTGTGTTAGCAGGTCTGGAAATCAGGTAGGATTCGCGACACATGTTCAAGTGGAGATCACAATCCGGAGATCAGCCTTTCGGAAATCACAGCGGAGATCATAGTGGAGATCATAGTGGAGATCACTTGTACAAAGTTGCCATGGATCGTGAACGAAGCCCCCGTCGCAATCCCTATCGGAGCTCCTCCACTCCAGCTGTGGTTCCACCTCCTCCTGCGAGTTGGCAAAATCCCGTGCCCCCTCCGGCTCTACCCATGGCCCGCCCGACGGTGCTTCAGCCGCAGAATCTTACGTGGCAGCCCAATCCCCGTGCTGCACAGATTATGAACATTTCGCCAAATTCCAGGACTGCCATCCCAACCTGATGCTAAGCCACCTAAAGTCTTCGGACCTATGCTACCCGCTGAGTTCTGTCAGAATCCGAATTATTTGGATTCACGCTCTATTGCAGGCTTGAACCTGGCTCGTTGGGTTAAGAAGACTGAATGGTCGGTTCGAAAGCAGATTGACGGATGCCCAACACACATGGTACCGCTCCATTCATTGCTTTATCAAGGTTGGAATTCATATTGGATTCGTCATATTGCAGAAGGAAAGCCGACTTTCTTTGCAGGCTTCCGATCGATTGCTGAGATTGTATTCTGTCACGCATTGTTCGGAAAATTGCGAGATGAAGAAGTCGACTTGGATGAGCTTGCTTCCATCGTGCAGGGTACCAGTGATGCTGCTTCGAAGAGTGGTGCTTCGGACTCGAAAGCGCAGGCCACACATCTGTTGGCACAGAAGGTTGTTGACTACATGGTAGGTCTGTATCCACAGGCTTCAGTTGACACAGAGAAGGCAGCCATGGCGAATCAGATCCAGATGCTTCATCAACAACTTGCGAGCTTTGAGAATGCTTCCCCCTCCCGCACCTCTAACCAGGCTACCGCAGATCAGAAGGGGCTGCCGATTGAGGAAAGCCCCCCAGGACCAGTGTCAGAGTCAACAACTTCTGCTCAAAAAATTCCTGATGGTACGACTCGTCTTCTTCGTGGCCAGACGGCTGAGCCAAAAAGTAATCTTATGCAGGCCTTCCAGAAAGGCAAACCATCGGGAGCCAGGCAGAACCGTTGAGTATTGAGAATGGGGAGGTTGAGACGCAAGGTCGCAGCCCAGGAAGTTCTCAGTTTGAGTATGGCACGTCCTCGCATGTTGGACAAGTTGTGAAGAGTGTTCTCACGGATGTGTCCAAACGCCATTTCTTGACACGTGGTTGGAAAACCTGCAAGTCGGACAAGGAAGTGTCGACATGGATAGAAGGATTGTCCTTGAGCAAAAACAACCGCAAGAAGCTGGAGACATGGACGGCCCATGTCCAACGATGGCATGCGGACCTTCCTTCCAACGAACAGGCCGAATTGGATCAGGTTGTTGCCAACTGGGGCGTCCCAATTCGTGACATTGCCAAGCTTAAAGCAGGCTCATTGCTGCGAATTTTAGCTGTCGGAACAATTCCTGTGGCTTGACTACAAGCCACACTGGATGATAGAGAGCGATATCGCAGCGGCAATCCACCACAAGGATGGTGGCGGAAGCACCGAAGTGACGTGGACTTGCTTCGGAATGTTCATCTCTTTTTCCAGAGTGTCTACGAGACACCCACCATGTTCGGACAACAATGGATGGACATTGTCATTTGGGTCCGTGGAAAGCTCCTTTTGTTGGCATGTGAGTTCGGGCTTGTACAGTCGCCGTTGACCTCCCAGCTTCGTTTAAAGTGTTCCAGCTACACCTGGAAATTCTTTCAGACCAAGTCGGTGATTTATTGCCGCATTTTTCTCCAGCCCGAGTTGAAGCAATTCATGTATGTCGGATCTACATCCCAGACGTTGGGCGAGCGCGAACGTACTCGATGGGGGAAGTACAAACAAATCTGTTCTGGCAAGTCAGTATGTGGGGAGCTTTCGCTTTTCTGGCATTACCGACGACGGAATTATCATCTGGCCATTCCTTTGTTGATCATGCATGTGCCTCAGGGTGACTGTTTGCATACAATTGAGCAGACGTTCATCAACTTGCTGCAGCCACGCCTCAATGCTCCCTGGGTTCGGTCGCTGGTAAAAGCTAAACATGCACACATTGCCAATTCCGACCCTGTGAGCTCTGCCCCCGCCGAAATGTTTCCTCCCTCCCTCCTGTTCACATCGGGCTCCAGGGCTTCATGCCACTCTTCACCCTCGTGTGTTCCTTGCCTCCTAGATTGCAAGGACGAGCAGGCATGGTGAGGATGTTCAAGCTATGTTTTTTGGTTTGACCATCTCCTGACCCTGCAGTCGAAGGTGTGGCTTGTTAGGAAGGGCCTCGGGTCATGATAAGTAAAATTTAATTAACGTATAAACAGGCTTCGTATCGGGCTCTCGCCAGCAGGTCCCAACAACTGAGTGGCGACTCCTGAGTAGAGCAGGCCTAAAACCACTTCAGTTTCGCACGTAAGACAACAGGTCAGGTTCACTTCAAATCAAGCAAGCTACAACAGTGGCCAGGACATACCGAGACCGCGCATCTGGGCCATAACACCTCCTATCCGCTATTGGATGCTACATGGCGGGTCGCAGACTTCAGGTTTGGGCTTTGCCACTGACCGGTTTAGGCTCTGGTGGCTCACTCCCAACTCTGTTGAAGTTAAGCTTTGTTTCGCCCCTATTTCATGTTTATGCTTCTGAACCCAGGGTTCTGTGGAACATGTTAATACTCAGACGCCGTGGTTCCTTGCTTCATGCGGCTGTCGAGGCTTTGCAGTCTGACTTCCGTTAACGAGTATCTGTAGCGTTTGAGATCTACTCGACCCCCCTGCTGGTTTGGAATCCAGCGTCATGGTCATGAATATGCGTGTGGGATTTTGAAATTCCGTACCCCCCAAACATCTGCCCCTCGCTCCGGTTCACTTCAGGCTTCAGGGTTTCAGGGTACCCCTACCGCTTTCCTCGTGTGTTTCCTGCCTCCTGCATTGCAGGGAGGCTTGCTGCTCCAGTGTTGTTGTTGTTGTTGTTGTTGCAGTCGGACGTCCTTTGACGAGTTAGGGTGTGCCATCGATTCGGGGTTTTGGGGTTTGGTCTGCCAATCAAGCAAATGAGAACGGAGACATACCGTCCCACATCCGCACCTCTTTTAAGGTTTAAATTCTGCCCGAACCACCTGCTGATTTATCATCTAGCGGCGTTCCTAAGTTCATGGTCATGGACCTGCGTGTGGGATTTGCCGCTCCGTCATCCGCAAACATCTTCCCCTCGCGCCGGGTCACTTCGGGCTTCAGGGCTCCATCCTAGAAATGCAAGGACGAGCAGGCATGGTATGGATGCTCAAGCTGTGTTTTGTTGGTTTGTCCATCTCCTGACCCTGCAGTCTAAGGTGCGGCTTCGTAGGCTTCTGTGGACAACATTAAATTCCCAGACGCTGTCGTTCCTTGGTGCGCCGCCGGTTCGGGGTTTACAACTCAGGACAGAGACAGGCGGCCCAACATCCGCACATGCATTCGCCTTTGAGTTCTACCCGATCCGGGCGGAATTGCGTTTTGAGGCTCCAGGTTTGCCATTCGAGGCGAAGGGCCTCAAAGGGTCATGTTAAGTAAGGTTTAGCTAGCGTGTGAGCAAGCTTCTTGTATCGGGCTCTCGCCATCAGGTCCCACGAATAGAGCAGGCCTAAACCCACTTTAGTTTCGCACGTAAGACAACAGCTCAGGTTCACTTCAAATCAAGCAAGCTACAACAGTGGCCAGGACATACCACAACCGCGCATCTGGGCCATAACACCTCCTATCCGCTATTGGATACTACATGGCGGGTCGCAGACTTCAGGTTTGGGCTTTGCCACCCTACCGGTTTAGGCTCTGGTGGCTCACTCCCAACTCTTTTGAAGTTCAGCTCTTTTTCGCCCCTATTTCATGTTTATGCTTCTTAACACAGTGCGAGGGGTTTGCCACGAGGTCTGGGGTTCGTCCATCCCGTGACCCTGGGAGTCTAAGGTGTGGCTTGTTAAGCTCATCTGCAGAATATTTTAGTGCTCAGGCTTTTGGTTCCTTGCTTCACGAGGCTGCAGGGGGTGGCTGCCCCAGTGTTGCTGTTGCAGTTGGACCTTCGTTGACGAACTAGGGCGTGCCGCCGGGTTGTGGTTTTGGGTTTTGGTCTGCCAATCAAACAAATGCGAACTGAGACGGGCGGTTCCAAATCCGCACCTGTATTAGGGTTTAACTTCTACCCGATCTGCCTGCTGAGTTGGCACCCAGCAGCATCCTGCTGCCTTCCTGAGTTCATGGTCATGGACCTGCATGTGGCATTTTGCAGCTCCGTCCTCCCACAAACATCTGGCCCTCGCTCCGGTTCACTTCAGACTTCAGGGCTGCAGGCTTGCCACTCCACACTCGCTCCTCGTGTGTTTTGTTGGTTTGTCCATCTCCTGACCCTGCGAGTTTAAGGCTTGGCTTCTTAGGCTGCTTTGCAAAATATGTTAAGGCTCAGACGCTGTCGTCG